CTTCACCCGCATGGGAGACCAGGAAGAAGCACCTGGCTCCTGGCTTCGGATCAGTGCAGCACCGGCCATAGCGGCCATTTGGGGAGTGAACCAACGGAAGGAAGACCTTTCTCTTTGTATCTCTCTCACTGTCTATAACTCTACCTGTCAAATAATTTTTTAAAAAAAAAATAATACTATTATTAGCATGGTTTTAGTGCTAAAAGGAATTCCTAAGGATATTGAAACCCAGATTATTTTAAAACTGGATTGACCAAACCTCTATAGTACTGATCTGGTCTCTGGGTTCAATGAGCTTCAGGCCTCCAGCTGGGAGATGTGTTGTCATATGGTGGTTACAGTTCTTCAGGAGAGACCTGGTTCATCCTGGTACCAAAGTCTAAACTTGTCATTTCTTTAAAACCTAACCTAGATAGCGTAATGGTTAAGATTCTGCTTGGGAGTCAAAACCACAATGAGGTTTCACCTCACCCGGGTTAGAATGGCTTATATACAGAAATATATCAACAACAGATGCTGGTGAGGATGTGGGGGAAAAAGGGACACTAATCCACTGTTGGTGGGAATGCAAACTGGTAAAGCCACTATGGAAGTCAGTTTGGAGATTGCTCAGAAGCCTGAATATAACCCTACCATACAACCCAGCCGTCCCACTCCTTGGAATTTACCCAAAGGAAATTAAATTGGCAAATAAAAGAGCTGTCTGCACCTCAGTGTTTATTGCAGCTCAATTCACAATAGCTAAAACATGGAATCCACCTAAATGCCCATTAACAGAAGACTGGGATATGTACTCTATAGAATACTATACAGCAGTAAAAAAAAAAAATGAAATCTGGTCATTTGCAACAAAATGGAGGAATCTGGAACACATCATGCTGAGTGAAATAAGCCAGTCCCAAAAGGACAAATATCATATGTTTTCCCTGATTGGTGACAACTGAGCACCTAAAAGGAAACCTGTTGAAGTGAAATGTACACTATGAGAAACAATGACTTGATCAGCCCTTGTCCTGAATATCAAGGAACAATTTACTATTTTATTCCTTTTAGTATTTTTTCTTCTACTTAATACCATTGGTTGAATTCTTTAATTAACACACAATTATTTCTAGGTGTTTAAATTTAACTGAAAAGTGATCCCTGTTAAATATAAGAGTGGGAAAAAGAGAGGGAGGAGATGTACAGTTTGACACATGCTCACTCGGACTTACCCCTAATGGTAGAGTTAGAAATGTACCGGAGGGCTGGTGCCACGGCTCAATAGGCTAATCCGCTGCCTTGCGGTGCCTGCACACCGGGTTCTAGTCCCTGTCGGGGCTCTGGATTCTGTCCCGGTTTCCCCTCTTTCAGGCCAGTTCTCTGCTGTGGTCAGGGAGTGCAGTGGAGGATGGCCCAAGTCCTTGGGCCCTGCACCCCATGGGAGACCAGGAGAAGCACCTGGCTCCTGCCTTCGGATCAGCGCAGTGTCCCGGCCGCAGTGTGCCGGCCGCGACAGCCATTGGAGGGTGAACCAACGGCAAAGGAAGACCTTTCTCTCTGTCTCTCTCTCTCTCTCACTGTCCACTCTGCCTGTCAAAAAAAAAGAAAAAAGAAATGTACCAGGGGATTCCAATTCAATCCCATCAGGATGGCATGTACCAATGCAATCTCACTAGTCAAAGTGATCAGTTTCAGTTCATAATTGATCATAATGAAAGGATTAAGAGTCAAAGGGATCACATAAACAATACTAGTGTCTGCTCATACTAACTGATAGAATTAAAAAGGAGAGAATAATCCAACATGGGAAGTGGGATACACAGAAGACTCATAGAATAGCAGATATCCTAAATGGCACTCTGGCCTCAGAATCAGCCCTTAAGGCATTAGGTTCTGGCTAAAAAGCCCATGAGAGTATTTCAAGCATAGAAAGCCAAGACATTGTGGCAAAAAAAAAAAAAAAGACCTAAATGAAAGATCTCTGTGAGTGAGATCCCAGTGGAAAGAATAGGCCATCAAAGAAGGAGGTACCTTTCTCTGAAGGGAGGAGAGAACTTCCACTTTGACTATGGCCTTGTCTAAATAAGATCAGAGTTGCTGAACTCAAGAGGCTTCCATAGCCTTGGCAGTTCATAACAAGAGCCTCGGGTGATTACTGACGTCGTAAATAAGAGTGTCAGTTGTTAAATCAACAACAGGAGTCACTGTGCACTTAACTCCCCATGTAGGATCTCTGTCCTTAATGTGTTGTACTATGAGAATTAATGGTATAACTAGTACTTGAACAGTACTTTATACTTTGTGTTTCTGTGTGGGTGCAAACTGTTGAAATCTTTACTTAGTAAATACTAAGTAGATCTTCTGTATATTAAAGATAAATTGAAAATGAATTCTTTGATGGAAGATTGTTGATGGGGAGAATGGGATGGTTGTGGGTAAGAGGGAGGTTATAGGGGGAAAAGACGCTAAAATTCAAAAGTTGTACTTTGGAAATTTATATTTATTAAATAAAAGTTAAAAAAAAGATTCTGCTTGGGACACCTGCATCTCACATTGGAGTGACAGGGTCTGGGTCCCTGTTCCTCTCTCCATTCTAGCTTCCTGCTAATGTGTACCCTAGGAGGCAGCAGGTATGGTTCAAGTGGTTGGGTCTCTGGCTCATGAATGCAGCCTGGCTTAGCACCAGCTGTTGCAGACATTTGAGGAAGGAACTAGTAGATGAGAGATCACTTTTTGTCTGTGTGTCTCTTTCTTGCTGTCTGCTTCTCAAATAAATGAATGAATGAATATTAAAAAAAAAAGTAAAACCTGGAAATCCTTACACAGAACTTGTATAGAAGAATCAGAATTCATGATATACTACGTTGTTGAATGCCCAGAGCATGACATTGAAATTTGACTTCAGGTTAAGGATAACCCAGGTTTCTAAATTTCTGGAGATGTCATTTACTCCAAGGGCCGTACAGAGGATACCTGGCTTGGCAGATGGATAGCATATCCCTGAATATTCCTTCCCTAGCCAGGGTCACAAACAAAGCTGTATCACTGGCTTAGGCGTGTCTTAGAGGACCCCAGAATGAGAGCTAGTCAAGAACCTGGCATCAGAGAAGTGCTAAAATGAAGTGCCCAGCAAGTGAGAAGGGCAACAGGTGGTAAAGCCTATCAAGTATCCGTAAACAGCGAGCTACAGAGAGGCCACGGAAGCTGGCATCCTCCTTGCAAATAGACCCTGTTACCTTCAGGGCAGAACACCATGGACTTTATAAACTGCACTGAGGGATGTATTTTTTTTTGTCCATTTAGATAATTGCATGAAACATTTTCACTTATAAGTGGTCTGCTATACTCTAATATTTTTCATCTCTACTTTGTTTTTTAGAACAAATTTAAGGCTCACAGAGTATACAGGGCTTTAAAATAAAATACCCTCCCCATAATTACAAGCAAGTTACATGTCCCACTTATCTGGTCCTCTTTGTTTTGACTACTAGCAGCATGACTTAGAGTATAAGCAATAAAATTGGCCTCTAATCAGCAGGGCAGCCTCTCATATCACCCCCATCTGGGTTCCATCCCGAGTTCAGAATTTACAACTGTGCATTAGGCCAATCACTTCATCTCTCTAAGCCTGTTTCCTCATTTGTAAAAATAGGACTACTACGCATGTTGTGGAGATTACATGAGATAATATGTACAAGACATATTTGGCATAGTTGCTGGTATGAATGGACTAGTAAAGAGAGTCATGCAAGATGACGGTAATGTTTATGATGACTGTCATTGTTAGCCAACTCCATGCTTTATTAGTGCTTCATCTGTGTTACTGAACGACAACTGGGTAGGTCTTTGCCTGACTGCTCTTCGAGAGCCTACTCATCCCTTCCTTGCTCTGCTCTCCCTTTCTTGCCCAGGCACCCTTGCACCTGGTCTCTGGATAAGTTTGGTTAATGGGAGATGCCAAAAGAAGAAATATGTACAGGATGGGCCGAAGTCGGGTCATCTTTTCTCTCACTGTATCTTCTGCACCATTCCACCTCCCAGATTCTCTCTGACAGCCCAGTTCTGGCCAGTCAGTCCTTCTTTGGTTTCATTTGCAGCCTGACAATCTCAGCTCCTGCCTCTGGTCACAGCACTGCCTCCTATCATCCCTTGGTTCCTAAGGAGGGTAGCAATGTCTCCTGTTGCTGATCTAGGCTGCTTTAACATCACCTATCTGGCCTCCCGACTTCTTCTGTCATTTACGAAATCAATTGCTTATATGAAATTATTTCAGTTTAAAGATCTAAAGGGGTTTCACTTGTTCTGATGAAACTCTGATGGATATAGTTGATTTTAAATAGTAAAAGGGGAGTCCTTACAGTGAGTTTATTTCCCTTCTTCTCTCTCTATGGGAATGGGCGAGGCCAACTGGAGAAGGGGCAGCTGGTTATCCTGTAGAGCAGTTCACTTTGACTAAATAAAGACAAGAAATTTTTTTTCAAAAATGTTGGTAGTAAAATGGAATTCAAAGATTGCTTTTAAAAAGAAAGAAATTGACTAAAGCATCATAGTGAATAGTGTCCTTGTGCCCAACCCTGATTAGGCACTGGGGCCACTGGCCCTAAGTGCTCTCCATGGAGGCAAGACTTGACTGCAAGTGATAGCCAAGCATAGTACAAGATTGTACTGAGTCAAAAGAAATAGAAACTCTTCACTTTTGAGCAACAGCTCTGGACCATTCATTATTCTAGTGAGTTGCTGTAGTAGATTTGCGTTTATCCTCATCCCCAAATGAGGAAACGAAGTGTCAAAGAGGCAGGTGGCTTGCCCAGAATTACATCACTATTAAGAAGTGGCATTTGGAGTGTTTGACTGAAGTTCATGTCTCAGAGCCTTCATTTATTTGTATCCATTCCTCAAGGTTTTCTAAGCTTTTTTCCTTTTTCAAAGCTGAGAGTAGGAAAGCTGCATACATAATTCATATTACTCTGGTCTGATAGACATTTCCTCTCTTTTTTTTTTTTTTTTTTTTTTGACAGGCAGAGTGGACAGTGAGAGAGAGAGACAGAGAGAAAGGTCTTCCTTTGCCGTTGGTTCACCCTCCAATGGCCGCCGCGGCCGGCGCGCTGCGACCGGCACACCGCGCTGATCCGAAGGCAGCAGCCAGGTACTTATCCTGGTCTCCCATGGGGTGCAGTGGACATTTCCTTACACAAACAATATTCAACCCTTCTTACCAAATTCTCAGAATAGGCAAATGTGAAAAAATATCTTTTTTCCATTTTTACAAATGAAGGAACAGAAAAATTGAAATAACTCCCCCAAGTTCACACTGTTCTATCAAGTTCACACTATTCTATCAAGTTCACACTGTTCTGTCAAGCAGATTTTTCTGTCCTCAAGCATGTGCTCTTTAGACTGGTGACATCCAAGTACAGGAGTCTGTAGTAGAGGGCCACGTGGTTTTAGAAATTAAAATGAATGAAAAAAGAAAAGTAAGTCCAGGCTGCCCTCCTTCAAGGAGCTGACAGGTCAGAAAATAAAATGAAGAACAGAAATACAACTGAAGCAAGCTGAAACCAGAGAGTATTGTTAACATTATCTACTCTGGTTGTGGCCACAAGTGGGAGGGAGAAGTATGGCTTTGGAGAACAACTGGGGTTTGAGATGAGCTTGGGTGAGGGAAATGTTAAGTAGGACAGCCAAAGGAGCAGCAGGAAGAAGGCATTTTAGACAGTGGTGCCACTAAGAGCAGAGAAACAGATGCAGAGAGAAAAGGGATCAGCTTACCTCCTGGAAGGATCCCAGTTCAGCAGAGGAAGAGAGAAGACTGGATATATAAGGACCACAGTTGTTTGGGGTGGGGGTTGTTAGCTACAAACAAGTCAATTAGGAACTTGATCAGGAGAACTGGAAGCATCCTTTGAACAACACCCCCTCATCATTTAACTGTCTAGTGGTTTAAAAAAATGTCTTAGGTAGAAAGTCTCAGCTTTTTAAAAGATCAACAACATAAATGCTTTTGAGATGATAATGCTGTTTCCTCCTTAAGAATAATGGCTTGTGATCACAAAAAGTTTATTAGTTGTCTCCAGCAGTTTTGATGAGTCCCTGAAATAGATGGGTAGCACTTTTTATTTTAAAAAAATGAATTTGTTTATTGGAAAGGTAAAGAGCCAGTCTGACACAGAAGGAGCTCCCATCCAGTGGCCCTGCTGTGGCACAACAGGTTAAGCAGCTGCCTGCAACACCGGCATTCTTTATCTGAGTACCTGTTGGAGTTCTAGCTGCTCTGCTGCTGATCTGCCTTCCCGCTAATGCACTTTGGAAGGCAGCAGAGATGACCTAAATAGTTGGGCCCCTGCCATCCATGAACTCCAGGATGGAGTTCCTGCTTCTGGCTGACCCAGGCCTGGCTGTTGTGGCTTCTGAGGGGAGTGAACCCATGGATGGAAGATCTCTGTGTGTGTGTGTGTGTGTGTGTGTGTGTGTGTATCTCTTTTCTGTTGCTCTTTCAAATATATAAATCTAAAAAAAAAAAAATTCTAATTTGGGACTCTAAAAGGAAAGGGCTCCCATCAGCTTATTCAATTCCCAGACGTCCACAATGGCCATCACTGGGCCAGACCAACACTGGGAGCCCATAATTCAATCAGGGTCTCTCATGTGGGTGGAAAGAACCCGATTACCTGCTGCCTCCTAGGGTCTGCATTAGCAGGAAGCTGGAGTCAAGGGCTGGAGCAAGGAACAGAACCCAGTTACTCTGCTGTGGAACACAAGTATCTTATCTGCTAGGTCACACACCTACCCCAAGGACACTCTTTGAATGCCCCTTGAAAACTATCCTGTTTCACTCAAGAGCATTTTTGTGTAGCATGTTGTAAAAATCTCACATTTGAGAATTTATTTTTTAAAAATGTTTTATTAATATAAAGAGAACAGATTTCGTGTATTTCATAGGTAGGTACAATTCTATGAAGATAACTGTGCTTTCCTCCCTTCCCCTCTGCCTCCTTCAATCTCCTTCCTTCCTTCCTTTCTTCTTTTTCTTTAATTTTTACAAAAGCATAATTTTGATCCACTCTATAATCACAGGCTTAATGTACTACCACTGACTATAATATCCAACAAATAAAAAGTAGAGAGACCACAGTTCCACAAGAGTATAAATGAGGATAAAAACAACAATCAAATCATAAGATGTCCATTTCATTCCTATGCATTATTTTTGTACTCTATCTACAACATAGCAGAGAAAATATACACTTGTCTTTTGGGGACTGACTTATTTCACTCAGAGAAGTCACCTTCTGAGTCAATGTCCCTAACAGATGGGAAGAAAACATCCTACCTTACCCTAGGCCCTAATTCATCTCCTCTCCTCTCCAACAGCCCCTCCCCATCAACTGATGCCTTGGCCTGGAGGAGCCAATGTGTTGGGTAGAATGGCTGGGGGTGAAACTCCTACCAAATTGGCTGTATCTGTTCTACCGCTCAGCATCTCTGAGGCCTGGGGACCTTGTCAAGCCAGACTGGTTTGGATAACTAGATTGCAGCAGTCATCCCCAATCCAGCAAACTGCCTAACCACCACAGGTGGTGGAGGAGAATTTATAGACAGTTCTGATCTGAAGATTTAAGCCAGTGCTTTGACCATTAGGAAACAGGAGGCTTTTCCTGTGAATGTGAATTTCCAGTCTATTGTAGTGTGGTGGGGAGCTGGGACCCTTAACCTTCAAGGGGGTCCTAAAGAAGAAAGCAGAGAGGATTCATTTAGTGTGCTCCAGACCCTGTTGAAGCACTCCCTTGCTACTTACAACCATCCCTAGGGTCCTGATGTTGATTGCACTTTGCAGACGAGAAAGCTGAATCAGAGAGCCAGAGGGCAGATACTTGCCCCAGGTGACACAGGTAGTCATGGGTGAAGCTCAGATATAAACCAGACATCCTGACCTTGTAGCCTGCATACTGTGGAGTGCAGAAAGCCTTCTCTGTGTGGGTTCTTGGTGAACATTCCACACTGCCCTGCCCCTGTGCTTGGTTCCAGCACTGCACTCAGAAGTTTCAGTGTCGGCTTTCCCAATGCATGTGAGCTGCTAGGTCAGGGTCCAGGTCGCACGCGTCCTTAGTTGGAGTAGATGCCAGATACACAGATGTTGTTTCAAACCGGAGGAGGAGCTTTACAGGTTCTCTGTAATCTCCCTGGAGCTAAGAAGGCATCCACTGTGGCTGGTGATGCAGAAAGCCAGCTCCTGGATTCAGTGGACGAGAAGGCCTCAGCGGCTAAGCCTGATGTGTCTCTCTGGAGACAGAGTTCCCTGTGCACACCAGCACTAGCTCTAACTTGCTCCCTGTGAGTCTCACTTGCTCCCCATTGTTAGTGTCTGTATGGTTTCTGAATAACTCAGGGTTTGACTTGGATAAAAGATCAACCTCCTTTTACTTCATTTTCCTTTTTACTTCATTTTCCTAATCTTTAAGCTGCAAGAATCAAGATCTAGTTTTCGGCTGGCGCCACGGCTCACTAGGCTAATCCTCTGCCTGCAGCGCCGGTACTCCAGGTTCTAGTCCCGGTTGGGGTGCCGGATTCTGTCCCGGTTGCTCCTCTTCCAGTCCAGCTCTCTGCTGTGGCCCGGGAAGGCAGTAGAGGATGGCCAAGTCCTTGGGCCCTGCACCCACATGGGAGACTGGGAGGAGGCACCTGGCTCCTGGCTTCAGATTGGTGCAGCATGCCGGCCATGGCGGCCATTTAAGGGGTGAAACAACGGAAGGAAGACCTTTCTCTCTTTCACTGTCTAACTCTGCCTGTCAAAAAAAAAAAAGAGATCCAGTTTTCATACAAGCCTAAAGCAGTGGAATCTATGGGAGCCAACATATAAAGTATGCGGAGGGTGGCCTGGCCTGTGTCTGTGGCTTAGCCATCAGTCTCTCTCCTTCCTCACTGCATGGCGGCTTCAGAGGGTCTGTGGAACACAAGCATGGGACTCTGAATAGTGATACTTAATAATACAATGATAAGATGACCTCAGAATAGCCTAGGCCTTGAGAAAGAGTGGCTGCAGGGCTCTCACCATGTCATCTCTGTGCCTGCATTTCTGTCAGATGCGTGTGTTCCTGGCACTATCAGCTTGACCTGAGAGTGTACAGTGGGCCGCTGGGCCTCATCCCCCTTGCTGAAAACAGACTGTGTGGCGTGGCCTGGGTGGATAAGAAACTCTACCCCACTACTCTTGGAGATTGATTTTCTGTCTGGGGATCTGACCTCTTGCTGCACTGGCAGAGGGGATCAGACTGTTCTGGGAGGAGTCAGTGAGCTGGCGCTCAACAAGGCCTTCTCCTTTCTTTTTCTTTCCTTCTTCTTTTTTTTTTAGCTGTATGTTTCAAAGGGAATTTTTTATTACTTTAGGGGCTTAACACTGTGAATCATTTTTGGGGCTTAGAGCTTTGAGGATTTCATGCCTGACATCAGTCATTTGTGCTAGAAGATCACTGAAGATTTAATTCCATTAATGTCATTGGATTTTTTAAAAAATTCTTTTGGAGTGGCAGATTAGTGCCCTATTTCTTCTATTTTGTCATTTTCACAGGTCCTTTATGTACCAGGGAACTTCAAAAAGTTCATGGAGAAAGAGAAATAAAACATGATTTTATTCCGGTGCAAAAATTTAAATTCATGCATAGTTGTTAAAACAAACATTTCCATGAATCCTTTTTTGAAGACCCTTCATAAATAACTCAAGAGTAAGACTCCCGCTTAAGTTATTTCTGTATCTCCACTATCTAACACGTAGTCCAACACAGAGAGGTACACGGTAAATGTTGTTCATTCAGGTATAGTGATAACAAAATAACCATGGTCCTAGTCCTTATTACATCTCCAGACTGATGGAAGAGACAGAATAAGAAATATATGCTACATCTTAGGTCAAGCTCTATGAAGGAAAATAACAAGTTAAATGGAAGAAGAAATTAGAATAATTGATTGATGAATTAAAGCAAATAACTTCAACTGACAATCCTAAATCTGTTTCATCTCATCTCTTGGTAAATAATAATTGTTGCTATTAGACTGCTATTATCTACTTTTTCCTGAGCATCCAGTAATTCCCTTCTGTGTGTAGCATCTTACTAGCTACATAGTAACTATTTATATAGTTACTGTATCAGA